GCTGAGTGATTCCTGGAGCTCTCCTCACTCATCATTTCTATTCCCTGACAGTTTCAGTCTGTCTTTCAAGACTTCCCTTACTCTGAGTCCACTTTGTGACTTTGCCAGCTCAAATCCTCCCACCTACAAAGTCCAGCCCTTCATTTTCTCAACCCCAGGTTCATCAGAGGCTCAGGGGGTTGGTCCTTGTTGGTTTTTTTCAAGCCAAATTAAGATCAAGCATGGATAGACGTTCCTTGTGTCAAATGGTAATTAGTTTGTTTTCTGTTCCTGTAGAAGAATATCCAAGGCTGTGTTGTGTGACTTATAAAGAGTGTAAGGCTTTGTCTGACTCGGTTCTGGAGAAGACTAGGAAGTTCAAGAACATGAAAATGACATCTGCTTGTCTTCTGATGCAGGCCTCACGGCAATAAACCAAGCGGAAACCTTATGAAAAGGAAAAGGATGAGGCCAGCCTGGGCTACAGAGTGAGTTCCATGAAAGGCGCAAAGCTACGCAGAGAAATCCTGTCTTGAAAAACCAAAAGAGAGAGAGAGAGAGAGAGAGAGAGAGAGAGAGAGAGAGAGAGAGAGAGAGAGAGAGAGAGAGAGAGAGAGAGAAGGAAAGACGAGACACATGTGAGAGATAAGGGCTAAACCCCTGACGTGTTTAACCCACCCGAGAGAGAAAACTTTAACCCACTCACAAGGGCTCTCTACCCGTTGAGTGCTCAAACACCTCCACTAGTTGTGATATTGAAGCATTAGGCCTCAACATGAGTTTTGGTGGAGCAAACCCACGTTTCAAATAACTGGGCCTGGAAAGTTATATCTAAGTTAGAGGGAAGTTCAGACCACGAGCAGATGTGGGTGGGACCGGAAGTGGTTGATATGTCTGCTATCTCCATTGAAGATGAAAACCACGGTGTCCAGACGCAGAAATGCAGGAATCCACTTACACTTGTTTCTGATTAGGAGAGTCTATGCGAAACGATATGGTTTAGAACTAATGATAAAGATGTAGATTTTGTCCCAGCACTTGGGAGGCAGAAGCAGAGGCGTTTCTTCAAGATGGAGGTCAGCCTGGGCTATGTAGTGAGTTTCAGGCCAGTCTGAACTACTGTGTGAAACCCTTTTTCTAAATAAATCAGATAAATAAATAAATAAATAAATAAATAAATAAATAAATAAATAAATAAATAAATAAATAAATAAAACAAACAGACAAGCAAATAAACCCCAAGAAATTAAGATTTTGTTGTTTGGTGTGTTCTGGGATCTTTGTATCTAAAGTACAATCTGTGGACCAGTCACATTGCTGTTTCCTCGAAATCAGCATCTCCAGTCCTGTTCAAGATTTATCAAATGGTAACCTACATTTTAATTAGATTTCCCAGTGATTTGTGTTCGTAAGTTTTGAGAAGTGTGGGTCCAGAAAGAATTGGCTTGGTTTAGAGGGCTTTTTAAAGGCTTTTTACTGGGAAACGTCCAGCAGTGTGTTACAGCCATATGAGAACCAAGTTATAAATTATCAAGAGTTTGGTGAGCTGGTTGACTTTAAGATTAACAGCTTGAAACTAATTATTGTGAAAGAATTTACAGCATGGGAATGTGCAAGTGCTACGCGTTCGTCTCTTATGTACTATAGAAGCAGTTGTTAAGGTTTTCTTAGCAGACGACTGTGGTTGGTTCTTTTTTTAAGGTTTTCTTAGCAGACGACTGTGGTTGGTTCTTTTTGACTTTTTGGTTCTTTGCTCTTGGGGGGTCGCCACCCATCTCCCAAATAAATTCATACAGAGGCTTTTTTTTTTCTTATGAATGCCCAGCTTTAGCTTGACTTATTTCTGGACAGCTTTTCTTAACTTATCCCATCTACCTTTTGCCTCTGGGCTTTTACCTTTCTCTATTTTGATACACCTTTCTTTCCTTCTTACCCCGTGGCTTGCTGTGTAGCTGGGTGGCTGGGTGGCTGGGTGGCTGGGTGGCTGGGTGGCTGGGTGGTTGGCTCCTGGAGTCCTCTCTCCTTCTTCCTTTCTCATTCCTCCAGTTTCTCCTCCTCCCAGATTTTTCCTCCTATTTATTCTCTCTGCTTGTCAGCCCCGCCTATCCTTTCTCTTGCCTTGCTATTGGCTGTTCAGCTCTTTATTAGACCAATCAGGTGTTTTAGACAGGTGACACACATCTTTGCATCATGAAACAAATATTCCACAGCATAAACAAATGTTACACATCTTAAAATGATATTCCATAACATACCACTTCACAGTTCTGAATCTCCTAACTCAATCTGTAATTGAACTGATCTCCTAAGGAGACTAAGAAGCCCCTGCCTATGAGGAACAAGATAATATGAGTTTTAATCTGTCATTCACAGAACTTTTAATCTTTATACTGATTTCCTATTATTCTGGGTAGTAAAAATTTTAACCATAACCTGATTCTGAAATGACCACAAGGTGGGAAGGGAACATAACCTTGGTAATATCATAAGCATTGGTAGTACTTAAAGTCAAGCTAGGTGGGCAAACATTGGAAACTGTGCCTATTGGCAACAGATTTTTTGATGCTGAAACATGGACGTTTCTGTGTAGAGTTAGAGAGGATAAAAGTGGGTAGATCCTGGTTTTAGATGCAGTTGTACCAGGGAGGAGCTTATCTTTTTATACAGAACAACTATCCATCTCTAAGTTAATGTTAAGTATGTGTGCAAATGCTTCCTAGTGGTTCAGGGAGTTTTTCTATGTGTGGTCCCTAGGTCACTGTACCAGTGTCACCCCAGAGCCTATTGGAAATGTAAATTCCCAGGTTCCTGCTCCAGACCTAATGGATCAGAGGATCTGGCATAGAAAGCCACCAATCAGAGTTCGAAAAGGCCTTCTTACTAATTCTGACACATTGGTGAAATAGGAACAGTTTAGATTTCCTTATTTTTGTATGATGAAAGTTTCTTTTTTCTAACTCTAACCTCAAACAGAAAGTGACTTTTCTTCAAGTACAAATTTCCAGATCAACTGGGAAATGCTCTGAGAATGTGGATCAAAACACCTTCAGGCCTGAGCACATATTAAAACATTTTTCCCCCAGGGAAGCTAGCCAAGTAGGGAGGCTGCTAGCATTTTGCCAAGACTCCCTGGAGTGGCTAAACCTTCCTAGAAACCAACTGGCAAAGCCTGCATTTTAAGATGAACTACATAGACAAGTGACTTTATAAATATTAATAAAAGCACTGCCCTAGCATGTGTGGGGACAAGAATGCTGTGCATGGTGTTAATAAATGGATGCTTCAGTTTGCCTTTCTGAGTAAGAATTTCTTCTGGTTTTTTAATAGTGACATTTAGTGTTCATTGAGGGTTGACTCTGTGACAGATACTATAGTAAGAACCTGTAAAAATTATCTCATTATTAGCCCCATGTCAAAATAAGGAAGTGGGCCCCAGAGGGGTTATAGCTATTTGCTCCATATTGTGCACACTCCGATGGTGATACTGGGGTTCAAAGGTAGGAAGTTTGATTCCAGAATATCCTCACTCAATTAAAGCACCTTTCTTCAGTAAGGAGAAGCTCATATGTATTAAATATTCAGAGGTTTGGTGTACGCTAGCTTTTCCTCACTGTGACCAAAATACCTGGCAGAAATGTTTTAGAACAAGAAGGACTTAGTTTGGCTCATCGATTTTTCAGGATTCAGCCTGTTACAGCCGGGGAAGCCAGCAGAGCAGCTCATGCCAGAACCAAAAGGAAGGAGAAAGAAGCAGCCAGTGCTCCACTGCCTTGCTCTCATCCCGCCCTTGTTTGCCAAAGCCCACAGCCCACGCAATGGTGCTACCCACATTCAGGATGTATTTTCCCCATCAATTAATTCTCTCTAGAAATATCCTCACAGAAATACCCCGAGGTCTGCCTCAATCTCTTGGGTAATTCTAAATCCAGTCAAGATGATGATGAAGTCATTATCATTATAATGGAGTGTCTATTTCAGAGTATGACTTTTAATTAAGTTATTTTATAGTTTTTTTTATAAAATCTTAAGCTAATGAATATCATCTATCTATCTACCTATCTATCATTATCTATCATCTATTTGCAAATACATGGACTCTGGATCCTACTTGATTAATGCCATCAAATTCTGGTGAGCAAAGAAGGCAATCAGGCACATTGAACTTATAAAGGACATTGTTTTAATAATAACAATGCTGCTGTAAGCACAGTCCATATTATTGTGAGTCCTGACTGAGTGGTTATGTTCTCATGGTAGGCATTATCAGCCAAGGGCCAACTGAATCCAGCTGTGGAGATTAGAAGAGATGAATTGAAGAACCAGCAGTAGGTGAACTTATATATATATATCCTTAGACTGAATTATCTTTTTAAGTATCATGAGATGACTTCAAGTTTCCCCTCTCCCTGCTCTATATGTGAAAAAAAAATCACAGAAGGAAAAGAGGGCAAGTGGGAAGAAAGTTATAAAAGTAGATTCAGATTCTTCCAGGTTTTCCTTTCTTTCTTTTAAAGTCACAGCTGACTGTGGAGCTTTTGAAGTAACTGCTTCGGTGCTGACAAGAATGGGCACTAAGGAAGAATCTTAGTCTTCCTTTAGATGACCACCGCATATAAATATACAATAAGGTTTCTGGGAAATTCCAGCTTTGAGCTAGTCCATCTTCTGTGGGTAGCTTCAGGAAACCAAGTAAGTTCTGCAGGCTTGCCATTCTCATCAAGTAACTAATTCGTTTATTAATGACTCATTTATTTATCATTCACTTATCATTTATTCAACAAACATTTGCTGAAGACCTCTGTTCCTGCCTGGTGCTGTGTGTTGTATGTGCTGAGTTCCAAAAATGAATGACAAGATTTCTGCCCACAAAGAGCTCAAACTGATAGGAAAGACAGAACTCTGAATCTTCTTAAACCCATCCAATTGTACAGTTTAGGCTGGCAAATTGTACTATATATAAAATAGGCTTCAGAATTGTTTCAAATAAACAAATATAACTCCTGTTTATTCTACAAAACCAGGAAGAAAGTGGGCAGTCCTGGAGGTGTGGAGGAGACTGCCAACATTGAGTGAAGGCTGAACTGAAATTTTAAGGAAAAAAAAAAAAATTTACTCTGGCACAGTGATATTCAAGCAGCAGCCCCAGAGGAACAAAGTCACAGAGGTGAGAAATGTGTGGTTTCTCCCTCCCTCCCTGCCTCCCTCCCTCCCTGCCTCCCTCCCTCCCTGCCTCCCTGCCTCCCTCCCTCCCTCCTTGCGCATGCGCCTTGGGAGGGATGTGGGCTGAGGAGGTAAGCGGAGGTCATTAGTGAGCCTTTGGAAATGGCCAATCACTAGAGAGTTTTATTTTAATGGAATTGATTTAATTCGTGATCTGACTTGTTTTAGGAAACCACGCGGGCAGCTGTGACATAATGGATGTCTCTTTTTTTTTGGGGGGGGGAGGGTAGCGGGGTAGGGTTAAGAATAACCTGTGCATGAGTCTCCGATCATCTCTGATCGTTTGAATACTAGATGTAAACAAACAAACAAGCAAAAAAAAAAAAAAAAAAAGAACCAAAACAAAACCCTAGACATGTTTCCTAAACACTACACTGCTCGCTTGGTCCTAGCGGCACAGCTTGCCAGCAGCCGGGAGCAGTAAAGCAGATTGTTGAAAGATTAACCTTGGTCTGGCGTTGTGTTGAAAGGAGGTTAGTAAGTGGGACCTCCTGGCCCACCTTGGGTGGTGAAGTTTGGCGGACTCTTTTCTCTTTGCTGTCAAGAGGATCGAACTCAGGGCCTCGCACAAGCTAGCTCCGCGCACTATCGCCTAGCAACGTGCGTTTTTTTTAAAAAAAAATCTTAGCAAGGCTGAAAATGTAGCGGAGGAAGCTGGGGATACGTCAGGTTTTTCAAGACTTTAGGCAGAGAACTAGGTTCCCCCCTGTTTAAATGATGGTTCTGAATACATCAGCAGGATAAAAAGAAAAAATAAGAAGGGATGAATAATTAAAGCATTTCCAACAAAGCCATTTTTTCCTGAAGGCTGTAAAGCTTTTGTGCCTTAACTACAAAACGGAGCCCCCGCCTGGGGAAACTGACAGGAAGGCCGCCACGAAGGCACTTAAGCCAGGTCGCTCTCCGCCCTGTTCCTTTGCTCCTACCAACACCTTCCCCCTTTGCCGGCTTCCGAGCGGAACCTTTTTCGCCTGTCCGTGCAGTTGAACCGCGGGACCAATTTCGTCAACACAATCCGGAGTAGTCAACATGGCGGCCGCCATAAGATGCCTCAGTAGAGGTAAGACAGCCAGTGTTCCTGCGTGGACAAAGGATCTAGAACCGTGTCTCCTGTTGCAGCAGGGTACACGCCAGAATCTGGCGGGCACGGCTCAGCTCTGGGTACTCGAAATGCCTCCAGGCTCGTTCTGGGCTCCATAGCCCAGAGGGTTATTACTGCTTACAAGCGAGGTTTCAACGCAAGGTTTCTCTCTTGGAGCTGGTCCCTCGGAGGGTGAAACGGGAGGGGAAATACAATGACAGTCCTTTCAGTCAGGTGTGAGGAGTACAAGGCTTCTGTCCTGTGTCGGGGCTAGCGGGTGAGTTCAGTTTGATAAGTGAGTCCTGAAAATGGAAAAGTGGTATATAAAGTGATTTACATCTGTAAAATCCGAACCTAGGAGTGTTTGTTGCCGCTTTGTGAATACAGGCGATCCCAGTTCTTAAACTTACAGAAGTTATCTAATTTAGGTCATGTTTATCATTGGAGACTAATTCTGCAGTGTTTCTTGTTCAGTGACAAGTCAAGCCCCGTTGGTTAGAATGACAGGCCCTTTAGTACCATGCTTTTTTCTTTTTTAAGGACAATGGTTATGAATATCGTTATGCAATTAAATCAGGTCTTTAAGTGGATGAAACAGCCTTCATCACTCCGTTTTAAGGGGAAGCAACCAACCCCATTGGGCACGTGACTAAATTCGTCTAACTAGTAGATGTCAGGGGAAGAATTGAAGCCTGTGATTTGTTTTGCGGTGATGGGTACGGAATCTAGGACATACATACCCAGACGTGCTAGGTAAATCTACCAGTGAGCTATACACCTTGGGAGCTCTCTAATCTTCCTTACAAATGCTGTATCCATTTTCTCTTTGAACTTCTCTCAGGAAAGTTCAGTGTTAAGATCAGCATCCTTATTTAGGATAGTTTTTCAAGTTAGGGGTGATGAGATCACAACACACCCTGGTGAGTACTAAGTAAACCAGAATATGTTATTACTGAATAGAGATTGAGGGCATTACCCTCATGTGTGATAGAAATCACATTAGACAAAATTGAAGAAGCCAAGAAAAGAACTGAAGATTTATTTTTTTTGTCACTTTTTCTTCTCTTAACTTCCAGGATACTTACCAATTTTATTACTATTCCACCTGGCATTCCTTCTGCTATTAATTGGTTGGTTCTTCTCTCTAGTATGTTTCCTTGTAGTTTCCCAAGATCCAGGATTCCATTCTTCATTCTCATCTCTTCTGTATCCAATATCATTCTTTTAGTGTGAATTCACTCCTGTAGTGGCCTCATCCATCTGTTTTAGGTTTATTTCTATGTTTTAATGGCTATCAAATATTTACCTGCAGTTGGGACCTCTTTCCTGAAGTCCAGAGTCTTATATTTATTTGAGAATTCTAGAGCCATTTGTGTATAACTTAAGGATACATGTTTGTAATCAAACTTACAATCATAACCTGCAGCTTTCTCCATCTCCTCTGATAAAAGCTGTATGCCTTCAGTTGTCCCGGCCACAACCTCTTAATATCTTTGACTTGTCTCTTCCTCACACTTCATGTTAAGTAGTTGACAAATCCTGTTTGCTTTATTCTCAAATTGATCCAGACTATTTGGTAGTGGTAGTGGTGGTGGTGGGTGTGTGTGTTGGGGGGTGCATTTTTGGAGACAAGGTCTTGCTTTGTGGTCCTGACTGGTTTGGTTTTGCACTCACTAACTAGCTCAAGCTGGCTTTGAACTTGAGAAAATCCTTTTGCCTCAGCCTCCTTAATGCTGTTAACCTAGACTCTTGACTTTCCCATGGTAACACTTCAACTGTCTTGTTCTAAGTCACCACGGTTTCTCACCTGGATTTTTCTGTGTCCTGCTCTAAGTAGTAAATTAGTCCTTTAAAAACTTAAGCTGGTGTGTGTGTGTGTGTGTGTGTGTGTGTGTGTGTGTGTGTGTGTGTGTATAGAAGTGGTTCCATAGTTAAAGAGTATTTGCTGTTCTTCCAGAGGACCTGGGCCTGATTCCTAATATCCACGTGGTGGTCCATAACTATGTTCCAGGTCCAGTTGATCCAACCCCCTCTTCTGATCTCTAAAGGCAAAATATCCATACACATAAGATTTAATAAATAAAATCAAAGAAAAAAACCTTAATCTGATTGTGGTGGTACATGCTTCTACTCCCAGCATTTGGGAGGCAAAGTTAGCAGGATTAATGCAAGTTTGAGGCCAGCCTGGACTACATAGTGAGGTCTAGGCCATGCAGGACTGTAGTCTAAGACTCTTTTTCTGGGCTCTTAATTAATATTTATAAAGGGAACTTAATCATATTACTCTGAAAAGCCTCCCCCAAGTCCTTAAAATGGCCTATAACTGCACTGTCCATTTTGTTTATTCACTACTGAGTACTTTAAATATGGCTAATATGAATTCAGAGTGTTGTATTCACTGTAAGTTTTTTGCATATGTATGTGTGCACATGGAGGCCAGAGGTTGATGTCGGCTGTTTTCTGCCAATCGCTGTCCAGTGTATTTATTGAGGCAGGATTTGTCACTGGACCTGGAGCTTATGGATTCCCACCTTGTCCTGAGAAGCTCCCGACTTTGCCTCTGGAGTGCTGGGACTACGGGGCAGAGGTGGAGGAGTGTTGCACTAAGCTTACCCAGCTTTCATGTGGTTGCAGAAATCTGAATCTCACTACTCAAGTTTGCATGGCAAGAGCTTTGTCTACAAGCTGTCTCCCCAGGCCCACCTTTGGTATGAAATCGACCTTTACTTTAAAAATGCAAACTGCTTTCCATCTTCTTTTATCCTGCAGTCCTCCCCCCTATATTTATTGGTCTTGTCTCCCCCTAACCAGAAACGTAAGCTCCATGAGAAGAGGGATTTTTGTGTTGTGTTCACTAATGTGAACAAAAGCATGGCCAGCACACATTTCATTGATCATTCATTGTTGAATGACTGAATGATAGATTATTTTTAAAAGCCTTCTCCAGTGAGAGTAGATTTGCTGTTGTATATACCATTTCGCCGTATGGTTCACATAGCAAGACTTTTTTTATGTGAAATTCCTAAGGTAGTAAAGAACACAGTGTGCTCGGGTAACGGAAAGGAGCTAAGAGTATCTGAAATACGGTGAGCGTGTGGGAGAGTGGTGTTAGATGAAGCTCACTAGATAGAGGTAGAACAGCTCATTGAGTTCTTGGTAAGAATTGGCTTGTTCACTGAGCTGTGGTTATGTAAGGCCATGGCGTGCTGTGCATTTAAGAATGATCTTTGTCAAAAGCAGATGATAGGACCAGTTGGAGACTGTTATAGTAATTCATGAGGTAGACAGTGGTGGCCTGTCGACAGTGTTTATTTGGGGGTGCAAAGACTTTGATGAGAGGCTCTGAGAGAAGGTGAAGTTTAGAGAGGAGGGTGGGGAAACAGTTTAGGACAGATCTCTTGGGACTGCTAACCGTTCAGTATCTACTAAAAGAGATGGAATAGTCTCTATCTCCTTGTGAAAGGATGGGAGTGGAGGAGAAACTTCAAAGAATGAATGTAGTGTCAGGTATGCTGAGGAGTAGTTGAGGAAATTGAGGACTATTTTGTCTGGTGGTAAATGAGGTGATCTATGTGAAGTGAATGAGTGTGCTAAGACAGATGACACATTGTTGACTAAGGGGTTGGAAATAGAGATAGAGGTCTAGTAGGGCATCTAAAGTAGTGATACTATTGTAATTTGGTTTTACTTAGTCTGTAGTAGATTGATTACTGTTGAAATTTTTAATTTCTGGTTCTTACTATAGGGGATTCTAAGTAGTGATTCTGTCATTGGCTTTTTTGGTTCAATGTGTTCGTGAATCTCAGTGTATAGCAGTTTGCTTATTTTTATAGTCATAGGGCTTTCCGTTACAGGACAGTGGCTATCCAGTCTGTGATAGAGAAATGCTTGAGTTCGTCTCTTAGTTCTATACTTAGAAACAGTCTTCTGATTGTTCTTGTACATGTCTCTTAAAGCACATGTACATGGTACTTGTCTGGAGGTGGACTGCTGCACCATTGTGATGTGCTTACCAGGCTCCACTGGGTAATTCCACATTGCTTCCCAGAATGGTATTCTAGTTCACACTCTTATCTACAGTGCATAAAATCTTCCTGTATTTGATGTGGTAAGTGACTTAATTTCCTTGAGGTTTCTTTATCTGGAACAATGATACTTAGATTATCTAATTTATAAATTGTATCTCCACAATAAAATTAAATACTACTTTCTTGATTAAGTTTTGTGGAAAAAAAACCAATAATTTGAGACAAGGTCAAACTCCCATGTGTTGGGATTATAGGGGTCTCCAGCATGCCCGTTATTAAAAGTATTGTCAGTTGCGTTGAACTTAGTGATTTGTTTGTTTCACATGCTACTGTAATCTTTATGTGGTTGCAGACTGTAATAGGTCTGCTGACCACTCTTTAAGTAGTGCTGTTGGCAGATGTTATATGGAGTTTTAAATTTGTATTTACCTGGTTACTAATGAGGTAATACTCAGTGGACATCTTTTACACTATTGTATTTCCTTTTCAGTTTGAGGCCTTTTAATCCCTTTTGTGCATTTTTCAATTGTGTTGTCTTTTGTAGTCAAGGAGTCAGATGACTCCTTTGTCAGCTGAGCATGTTGCAAATATATTCTACCCATTTGGGGGTCTATCTTTTCACTTTATGTGCGTGTAGGAGGGTTTATGTGTGCACATGTGTGCACACATGTAGTGTGTTATTTCTCTTGAGTTACCCATCTTGTTTTTTTGAAATGGGGTCTCTCACTAGGACCTGGAGTGTGCTAATCAGTCTAGACTGGCTGGCCAGTGAGTCGCAGGAATCAGCCTCCTCTTTTTAGGAATCACAAGGATGAGCCACTGTGTGCAGTGTTTTACATGTGTGTTGGGGGCTGAGCACACGTTCTCACGCTTGCCTGGAGAACACTTTCCAATAGTGAGCCATCTTCACAGCCTCGGCTTTTAATTTTTAAAAAGTGTATTTGATAAACAGAAGTTTTTAACACTTCATACAACCATTTTAAAAATATAACCACTTTTTATTTAGTGCCTTTGGTCTTGTTTATGAAACCATTCCTCCTGTAACAGTTATAAAGATATTTTTCCTCTGTTCTGAAAGGCTTTTAAGTATTACCATTCACCTGTGAGTGGGTAGTTGTTGTTGTTTTGTTTTTTTCCTTTGTACTGGGGACTTTGGATGAGTTTATTGTCAAGCCATTTTTTTTTTGTCCTACTAATCTGTCTTTCTGTATTTGTGCCACTACCAATATGTAGAATCATCATAACTTTTTGGTTTTTTTGAGACAGGGTTTCTCTGTGTAGCTTTAGTGCCTGTCTTGGATCTCACTCTGTAGACCAGGCTGGTCTTGAACTCACTAAGATCCACCTGGCTCTGCCTCTCGAGTGCTGGGATTAAAGGCGTGCGCCACCACCTCCCGGCTTCATCATAACTTTATAACATCTCTTAAATCATTTTTAAATTTAGCTTACGCCGGGCGGTGGTGGCGCACCCCTTTAATCCCAGCACTCGGGAGGCAGAGCCAGGAGGATCTCTGTGAGTTCGAGGCCAGCCTGGACTACCAAGTGAGTTCCAGGAAAGGCGCAAAGCTACACAGAGAAACTCTGTCTCGAAAAAAAAAAAAAAATTTAGCTTACAAAGAAATGGTTTTCGTTTATATTTTCATACATACACAATTATACTTAGATCTTTCTTTTCATTCCCCACACTACCCTCTCTCTTCCCTGCCCTTCTTATAACATATCTTTATCTGGTAGGGCAAAATTCCCACTTTGTTCTGATTTTAGAAGAACTCGGACAACTCTGTGAATGTATCACCTTTAAAAATGAATAAATAAAGTAGAAACTATTTTAAAAATTTAGGGGTACACATGTACATACTCCCTGTTAATAAAAATGAATCTATTGAGCTTAAATTAGATTAAGGTAAAAATAGGTGAAGAGGGTGTAAAGGTTCATGCCTATAAGCACATGTTGCCTATAGTTCCATCCAGCCTGGGCCATACTTAATGAGTTCCAGGTCAGGCTAATCAGCTGTGAGCTCCTATTTCAAAAACAAAACAGAATAAGTGATTAGAAAAAGTTACTAGATATCAGATGCCTCTGCTTGCTTTTAGTTTCTCTGAGTGTGATTTCTATATCTTTCCTTTTAGTGATACTGCTTATGGAATACAGGGCCTTGCACATGCTAGGCCAGGAACTAAGCTACACCCTATCCCTAGTACTGGATATTTTATTTTTGTGTATATGTGTTTTTGTGTTTACATTCATGTGGAGGATGGTTGCATATGTGCATTAACAGTGTAGAGGTCAGAGGACAACCTTGGGTAGTTCCTTAGACACCTACCACCTTTTGTTTGAGTGTGGTTGATATATTGTGCACCCCAGTAAACTTATCTGGGGGTCAGAGAACAGAACAGCCATAATATTAAACATAGAGGTTAGGCAGTGGTAGCACACGCCTTTAATCCTAGCATTCCAGAGGCAGAGATCCATCTGGATCTCTGTGAGTTCAAGGCCACACTGGAAACAGCCAGGCATGGTGACTCAGGCCTTTAGTTCCAGGAAGTGATGGCAGGAAGCAGAAAGGTATATAAGGCATGAAAACCAGGAACTAGAATCTGGTTAAGCTTTTAGGCTTTTGAGCAATAGTTCAGCTGAGATCCATTTGGATAAGGACTCAGAGGCATCCAGTCTGAGGAAACAGGATCAGCTGAGGAATTGGCAAGGTGAGGTGGCTGTGGCTTGTTCTGCTTCTCTGATCTTCCAGCGTTCACCCCAATACCTGGCTTTAGGTTTGTTTTATTAATAAGACAGTTTAAGATTAATGCTACAGTTTGAGACATGGTCTCTTATTGGCCTGAAACGTCACCATAGGTCAGGCTAGCTAGCCCACAATCTTCCAGGGACCTGCTTCATGGCATCTCACTGTTCCTGGGGTTGTAGGCATATGCCACCATACCCAGCTTTTCACCCGGATTCTAGAGAGATCCAAACTCAGATTCTCTTGCTTTTGAGGCATCCCCTATTATTACATGTTAAAAAAAAAAATCCCATCCCCTATTCTTATACTTTTTAAAAGTGGTTAAGACTCACAAAATATTAGTTGCTTTTGTTTTGAAAATACTGATTTTTAGAATGTAAAAATGTATGAGTCTGATGATTAATGTTATATTTTCTTTTCCTTCTAAGTCTTGAGACAACATCAAAGGCATTGTCTTTCCAAGACAGCTTACCAGGCCCCTCCTTACCCTTGCTCTGAGAATGTTCTCTGGACTCACAGACATTTTGCTGCTGCTGCTACAAAGTAAGTATTTTTTTTTTTAGTTGCTTCCTTTACTGTTAAAGTTCTGATTAAAAAACGTAGTTCTATAAAGATTGGTAGTTGCAGAGGTTCATTGTCTGTTCTCCTTTGACCTTAGTGTTCTGGAAGACAAGACTTAATAGCATTTATGAGCATCTCGAGCTAATCACTCACCACTGTCATTTTAAGTATCTACTATTGTGTTATGTGCATTGGAAGAGAAGGAAATCAAGGCACCAACAGTGTTGTGGTTTTGTTCCTTGTTACTGTAAAATTCCATGACAGAAGCAACTGAGGAGGGGAGGGTTTATTGGACGGACAGTCCCGAGTCCCAGCCCGTCATTGTGGGGTAATCGAGGCATCGAGGACCTGAAGCAGCAGCTCGCACCCGTGGTCTAGAGCAGAGAGTGAGCGTGTGTTCTCTCTGTGCTTCTCTGCTCCCTATTTTTGTTCAGTTGGGCCCAGCTCAGGGCCAAGGTGAGTCTGCCTACCCCAGGTAACCCTTAAGAGACTCGCTCAGCATGGCCGTAGATTCCTCTAGACTCTTCCCAAGTGGCTTTAGATGATTTCCACTTTACAGTTAAACTAACCATCACAATGAGATCATAGAGCCAGTCCAGAGCAGAGGACCAGCACATGTCAGAATAAGGATCAGAACTGAAGGAATTTAGTTCTGAAACTTTTTTCCCCTACTCCTTAAATGATATTTTTCTCCATGTTGCTTTTTATAATTAGGGATTACAGGATTACCAGTACTGGAATTATATGTTGGAATTTCAGATTTTTAATGTTTGTTGTGTTATGTAGAAATGCACATACATACATATATGTATGTATTTATAATTTTTTGTGTAGACTTTCAACCTATGGAAGTATAAAGGATGAAATTTATTCTCACAGTGTCTGATTACCAAGAGTAAAAAGCTGGTTTTGTGTGGAGTTAGAGCTCAGTATTTTTCTCCATTGAACTGAATGACGGAAGGGACTGAAAGGCAAATGTTGGCAGAGCTCTTGGACTTACGGCTCATGCCATCTGGTTGTTGGGCATAATGCTAATTGGTTTTCTCCCAAGGATATTGATGTTAATGAAGTGTAACTCAGTACCATCTTTTTCTGAATGTCTTTTTCCCTAATGTCACTGTTTCTGTAGTTTAAAGAAATGGCTGAGGGAGTACTAATTAAATGCTAAAGCGCTATAGGAGATTGACAGTTAAAATTTACAGAATTCTTATGTATTTCTGTGATAATAATGTTACTATTAATAGCATATTAATAATAATTATTGTTATAATTGAACACATTTCATATACTTGTTCACTTAATCTTCTTACCAGTTATGAAGTACAGGTACTACGATGAGCGTTTCTTAGGTAGAAGAATGGAAGCCCAAAGATTAAATTTTTTTTTTTTTTTGGTTTTTCGAGACAGGGTTTCTCTGTGTAGCTTTGCGCCTTATCCTGGAACTCGCTTTGGAGACCAGGCTGGCCTCGAACTCACAGAGATCCGCCTGGCTCTGCCTCCCGAACCAAAAATTAAATTTTATGTGGGTGCTAGGAGTTTAAATTTCAGTACCCATGAGCAACATAATCCAGTAGTAGTTTAGAACAACATAACCTAGAGTTAGACAGCGTGGATGTGTTGGAGGGAAGACTTACTGTCTGACTTCAGAACTATTTCCGTCAATGACCAGCCTAAAAGAGTCGAATCAGTGGCTTTGGAGGGTAGTAGGGCCTGTCAAATACAGTTCAAGCTACAGAACCTTACTTTTCAATGAATTTTGATAGGGTACAACCCTTAGATTATGTGATATCCAAAATGAAAACTGAAGTGTAGGAAATTTTAGGGAAATTTGTAAATTTCCAGTTGTTTAACATATTCTTATTTTAATAAACTTAGCCAAAGTGTATCGATGCTATGGCACTACACAAGATGTTGATGTGACTATGAGCAGGTACCTGTTTTGTTGTTCTGCCCTGGAGCACTTTAAAATGAACTGACAGCAACATAAAGAATTGCCTTTTGTCTTAAAGGAATTATTTTAAATGAGTTAGTTCTTGGTAAGCAATTGAAGATGTATAGGGTTTAGATGGTGAGAAGCAGGTAGCTTTCCTGCCCTGGTGGTTAGCCATTGAATGATAATGGTCTCTGCATTTTTTAACTATGTACTTCTTGTCGTTTGTGTAAGTGGTAGTACATGGAGCGAGCATCTGGTGCCTGTTTCTAACAATACATTGTGGAAATAGATTCATATGATGCTGTCTAGTTATTTAACTATATAATATTTAGCTGTATAAATGTACTATAATTTATGTAATTTAACTTTCTAATATTTCATTAATATAAGTGACCCTGAACTGAATAACTATGTAAAATTCATGTATCCTATATATAATGGAAGTATTTGAAGTGTAAGCTCTGAGAAGTAAAATTCTTTGGTCAGAAGATGTATATATTTTCAACTTTGATAGATATTCCAAAATTACCTTGTTAGTTTGTATTAGTCAGTGATAGAGTACTTGCTGAGCATGTGGGCTTAATATGGATGCCTGCAGAGCTAGCAGAGACTCTTTTGGGGTGTGACAGACAAGGAGCAGCAGCAACAGCCCTTCCTCTTGGTGCTAGCGATGAAATCTAGGGCCTTACACAAGCTAGGCACCGTCTCTGTCACTGAGCACACTGTGTCCCTGCACTGTCCTTTGGGTGTGAATGTGCCTGGATTCTGATTTGTTGTGAGAAGCTGGAGGAGTTCAGGTTGTACCAATTTATGTCCTACCCAGCGGTGAATGAAGAGTGCCCCATTTCCCACATTAGGAGGTGTCAGTTTTGTGTATCTTTAGTGTATTTCTTGTGTACATCATTTACTTGCCTATTCTTCTGTTGGGCTGTTTGACCTTTTTTTCTGCTATGTACAGGTATTTATTAACTTATTACTTTAAGAATATTTCAAAACATTTTTGTTTATCCTCTAGAAAATTCATATTGTGTCATCCCCAGTTTTTACTGTAGTACAGTTTGATGCTTTTTACTGCCCTAAAAAGCATAACATAAGAAATATGCCCACTTTGGAAAGATATGAAAAACTGTCCTAAGATTGTTTGGTAACTTGATGAGATGTGTTCCTGATGTTAGTTGTCATCTTTATTTTTTAATGATTGACTTCAGAGTCAAGATCTGAGGCATGGTGATGCAGCTTCTCATCATTGCTCTTTGTTTCTGCTTTGTTTTGTTTGAGACAAATGCTGAATGTCCAGTGTACAATAGTCGAGGCTGAAGTTAATAGGTTTTACACACAAGTAGGCTTGTCTTTTAGTGTTGAGCCAGTGTGGTCAAGGGCTGAGCTAGGTTTTGGTTTTGTGGTCTCCATGGTTACCAGTAGCCGAAATCTCTGTACCATCACTTTGTGCTCAGTGTGGGGGTTGGGTTGCTGGGCTTTTCTTGGTGATGTTCCTGCTGTGCAACTGCAGCTTGGAGGGTCTGCCCTCTCCTGGGCCTGTCCTCCCCTGGGCCTGTCCTCCCCTGGGCCTGTCCTCCCCTGGGCCTGTCCTCCCCTGGGCCTGTCCCCTCCTGGGCCTGTCCTCCCCTGGGCCTGTCCTCCCCTGGGCCTGTCCTCCCCTGGGCCTGTCCTCCCCTGGGCCTGTCCTCCCCGGGCCTGACCTCTCCTGGGCCTGACCTCTCCTGGGCCTGTCCTCCCCTGGGCCTGTCCTCCCTGGGCCTGACCTCCCCTGGGCCTGTCCTCCCCTGGGCCTGTCCTCCCCTGGGCCTGTCCTCCCCTGGGCCTGTCCTCTCCTGGGCCTGTCCTCTCCTGGACCTGACCTCCCCTGGGCCTGTCCTCCCCTGGGCCTGTCCTCCCCTGGGCCTGTCCTCTCCTGGGCCTGTCCTCCCCTGGGCCTGTCCTCTCCTGGGCCTGTCCTCCCCTGGGCCTGTCCTCCCCTGGGCCTGTCCTCCCCTGGGCCTGTCCTCCCCTAGCAGTAGGCTGTGGCCTGTTGTTGCTCAGTGCTCGCCTGGCTGGAAAGGGGTGGAAGAGGCAGTCTCAGCCGGCCAGATTCCGATTTAGGATTCGGGAGGCCCACTGAGACTGTGCTTTGGAGAGAGGCTTTTTGAGCACACCTCTCCCTTCTCCCTCTGTCTGTACCTGCTGCAGGTTATGGGGGAGTTCCAGGCCCCTGTCTGGGTAGATACAGTACAGGCTGAGCCCTGTACTGTTCCTGCCTTGGCTCAGAACTCTAGGTGGAAGTTCTGGTGATAGTTTTCTTCCTTTCTACCAGAGACAGTGGGTGTTTGCCTAGGCCTTTTCCTCCAGCCTGCACCCTCTCTAGTCTCCAGCTGCTGCACTCTTTCCTGGGAGCATCCATGGAGGTGTGTGGAAAAGGCCATGAAAGTATGAATCCCTTTGTTCCTGAGGAGTTACATGGCCACACTAGCCTCTCAGGTTTGTCTTACCTGCTTTCCCCTCTCTCCATTTTGTCACTGGAGAGAGAGACATGGTAAGAGTGTGGAGGGACTGATTCTCCTTGGAGTTTAGGCTGCTGGGCTGCCTGCATGCTCGGCTGTGTTCTCAGCTCTGTGGTGGGGTCAGGAAACGTTGGGAGTTTTCACACACCCCCCTTCTCCGTGCCAGTGCTCTTTCCAGCTTTCGCAGTTGAGGTGCAGCAGATTTGCATTTCGTTGAAAAAGAATGAATAAATCACTCTTAGAGATGTTGGTGCGTTTATCTCATATTAGCCTCAAGCGTTATTGTTTAGTTCAAGTTAGTTTTACAAAACAAACGAACAAACAAACACCACAGTGTAAAAGACTCTTTGCTCTTGGAATACTTGGATTGCTCTCTGGGGTCACAGATTTTCAGGTCCCGAAGTGAACTTTATAATAGCACTGCCTTTTCTTGTCCTGTGTGATTGGGCCTGACCGTGGATTATTTTCCTCCTGTGTTTCTGTTGGAGGACAGATGTGGCAGGGCGAAAGTTATTAGCTGAGTACAGTCTCTTGTTACTCATTTAATCTGT